CCGAACCCCAAATTGCTCTTGAATGGATCGAGCAGACCGCTCGTGTACTACAAAATTTGAACATACCTCTCGTTGATCATCCAAAATTTGCATCTCAATTGCTCCGCAAGGAAGCCTACGAATGGTGGAAACGTACTGACGAAAATCCAAACACACCCAAACCTTGGACTTGGGAATTCTTCGATTGGGCGTTCAAGAAGGAATATATACAAACTCGATTCCGTGAAGAGAAACGTGCTGAATTTATCGAATTAAAGCAAGGAGATATGACACTCCCTTAATACCGACAAAGATTTGTCCATCTCGCTCAATTTGCACCCACGCTGGTGAGTACAGCGGCGGACCGCATTGAGGAGTTTCGCAAAAGACTTCGACCTGACCTCAGGCCGCACGTATCTACTATTCAAACTATAGATTTCATTGAGGCATACGATCTAATCTCCAAAGCCAAAAAAGATCTAAGTGATTACTATGAAAGTCTGAAGAATAAGAATGTCAATCCAAATGAATGACCAAATTCAAATGGGAAGAGACCCCTGCAAGAAATCGATTGTGCCATACACTCGAAAAAGGGAAAATCAATGACAATTCAATCGACGTCATCCATGAACAAAATGAGGGTATGGAAACATCCAAAGTGTAATGTTTGTAAAAGACACCATCCGGGAGATTGTTGGCTTGCACAAGGATTATGTCTAATTTGTGGTGAACCTGGACATTTCCGACGAGAATGTCCCTCTAACCCTGAATCATGTTCAGTTACTTATGTCCAAAATCAACCTGTTCGCTCAAGAACAAGTCAACGCTCTAAAACACGAAGCAATTCAAAGAGTTCAACCCAAGGATGATACTCTGTGAAGATCCTAAAGTGCTATAAGGGCTCGAGGATATATTGAATAATGTAGAAACCTTATGTAAACAAGAAATGATCTTTCAATTTGAATCTCAAGAATATTCGTATTTTCTTGAACCTATGTGTGTTGAAACCATTGTATAATGAAATCTTTCATTTGACCCATCTTGAGAAAATGTTTGATATTTACATGATGCATTCTGATGTTGAAAATAGATATTTTTCTAACTTGCACTGGCCATGCAGCTTAGAATAATACTTATGGTTAACTCATAATGTTCATGGACAATATTATTCCAACATAAATTCAACTGAAATTACATAAAGTAATATTACAAATGCAAGTCTAAGTCCAATGCCCCAGGATTTACAAATTCATCATAACTAGCCCCAGGACTTGGAAAAGCTTTAGCAAACGCTAGCTTGTCTAAAAGCTCATCAATAAAGAAAGAAGAGATGAAAAGTTTTCTCTGACTAGAAGCCATGATGTTCTGTCTCACTGCGTCATCTAGAAATTTGATTAGGTTATTAAAATAACCGTCAATATTCAAGAGACCAATGGGTTTACTGTGCAACCCTTCAGATGCCCATGAGATCAAAGTGAACAAACCTTCCATAGTATCAATCCCTCCAGGAAGTACGATGAAGGCCTCCACTACATGATTCATTTCGAAATGCTTATAGTAATTGCTTGAAACTGTGTATTCTGCACCATACGTAGGTCCGTAGACCTGTCGTGCTGCTTTGTACCCTGGTATGAAGCCTCTAACTATACCACCATTGGTATAGACTGTTGAAGCAACAGCTCCTTGAAGGCCAACGTTGCCTCCTCCATAGGTAAGTCTAATTTTTCGCCTTACCAATTCCCTTCCTAAATCCACCGCCGTAGCCATGAACTTTGGATTTCTACCAAGAGAATGACTACCAAGTAGACCAACAAATTTTATGGTGTAAGGAAAAGTTCGAGATGTTCCTTCCATAATGTGAGAATGTGAAATGCTCTGGCCACAATCGTGATATATATAGGCTCTGAAATTGTGACCTTTGAAAAAGGGTAGTTATCCTCCGTCAAAATTTGTACAGCAAAGATAGATTCAATTTACCTACTGACAATGATGTGTTCGCTAATAATACAGTCTGCTGACGATATGACATATCAAGACTCGTGAACAGTTAGATTCGCTGTCCTAAAATACGTTCAAATCCAAGATGAAAAGTCAAAGGGCTACTGCCCTGAAGACAACGACCCCTGAGCAATTGAAAGACTACGTTACGACGTATGAATTGAAACAAACTGCAATTGTGCTTATCAAAGGCCATTCAAGAGTATTGAAGATATTTTCAATCGATTCTGTTAACCAAGGACGTACAGATAAGACTCGTAACTGAACGAAGTTATGTATGTCAAGTATGCAATACTACACACTATGAAGGAACTTTTGTCATCAAAGGATCAGTGAAGACCTTACTTAATCGAAAATTACTAATCTCTCGAAGATTGAACGAGTTTGATGAAATCAATGACTTGAGAATACTTATTCGAAAGATGGTGACATAACCATATGAATATGAAACGATCATGATCAATGAGATCATTACAAAACTTGGAACGTTGAACCTAAGAAGAATTTCGAGGACGAAATTCCTTTTAAGGGGGGAGAAATGTAACGCCCCAAAACATACCCTAGAATTATTAATGAATAAATAATCAATTAATCACAATTGTTTTGATTAAAATAAATTATTGTTGGGCTTTGGGCCGATATGAAATTTGTTTTGACATCTAATATCAAAATCTGGATAAGTCTCATAGAGATAAATCCAATATGTGGACTATTTGTGTAGTCTTGATTGGAAACCTGAGTACAGACCCGAATCAAGAGTAAATAAAGAATTTGTTTAGAATGTAAATATTGAAATGATTTGTTGAAATAAATCATGAGAATAATTGATGTGAATTAAATGAGAGAACCTTTTATGAGAAAGGTCAATTAAACCAATTTTGACTCTGTTAAAGTCAAACACCCAAAAATGTGGTGTCAGAAAAAGTATAATGAATGAATATAAAAATTATATCGTTGGATAGAGTTCCACTGTCTGATCGAAACGGTGCAAACGGATTTTAATTCGGAGAAAGTTGGACCAAAAAGTGTACCCCGACTAGGACCAAATTAGTCCCAATCAGGGAAGATTCGTAGCAATCAGCCGACCTTCCCATTTCGTCGATCGTGAGTCACCACTGACTCAACTCCATTAGCTTCTTC